TCAAATTGGATAGAGGAAATTCAAGATGAGCTGAATCAGTTTGAGAGCAATCAAGTCCTGGAACTTGTTCCAAGACCAACTCATCAAAATGTGATTGACACTAAGTGGGGTTTTTCGCAACAAAATGAATGAAGACGGAATCATTGTGAGAAACAAAGCAAGACTTGTAGCCAAGGGTTATTGCTAAGAGGAATGTATAGATTTTGACGAAACATTTGCTCCAGTAGTGCGTTTGGAAGTGATCAAAATATTCTTGGCTTATGCTGCTCAAATGGACTTCAAAGTTTATCAAATGGGTGTCAAGAGCGCATTCCTAAATGGTTTGCTAGAAGAAGAAGTATATGTTGTGCAATCTCCAGACTTTGAAGTTAGATCAACTAAAGGGAAAGTTTTCAGATTGAAGAAGACTTTATATGGTTTGAAGCAGGCACCTAGAGCGTGGCATGATACGTTATGAAGCTTTCTCATGGAGAAATTTTTTACAAAAGGAACAATTGACAAGAATATCTTTAGATCAACTAGCAAATGAAAATCACATCTTGCTAATACAAATCTATATGGATGACATATTCTATTTACATACCAACCCAACTCAACTTGTATGCACCAATATGTGAAACAGGACCGTAATTAATTTCCTATAGTCAATTTTGACTTATTTGACCACTTTGACTGTTTGACTTGGTCAAACAACCAATATGAGTGTTTGGTTAAATAGCTTTTTGCAATAGCTTATTGTTCCAAAAAGTTAAAATTCAAAAAGTTGTTCAAAACCGATTTTCCGATAAGCTTTATATAAAATAAATTATTTTCTCCAAAACACTGCTCAAGATTATTTTTTTTTTTGAAAAAAATAACAAGGCTGTGTAGACGGGTCCCGTTTCTCTCATGGTCTCTTCACGGTACTAGGCAACGGGGGCGCTTGAGCCTGTCTACGGGGTTCATAAGCACGTTGCCTAGTACTGTAAAGGTAATTAGCAATGAGACATGTGATTACCTCATGGGCTTCCTAAGCCTGTGAACATTTTTTATTTATTTATAGAAATTATATATTATTATTGTTATTATTTTTTAAACATTTATTATTATTATTATTATTATTATTATTATTATTATTATATATATATATATATATATATATATATATATATATATATATATATATATATATGCAAAATGATTATGAAAATTTTTTTCCCTCCAAAGTGTGAAAGCATTTATCATTCACATTAATTTATAATAATTACAAATCAAATCAACATCAACATAATTATGAAATTAGTCAGCATAGTCAACATATCATTAATTTTATAAAATATTGCATATATTATATATTATATCTCTATCTATCTCTATCTTTATCTCTATCTCTATCTCTATCTCTATATCTCTATATATATTAAAACAAAATGATTAGGGAAATATTTCCCCTAATCATAATCATCATAAATAATTAAATAAAAATGAAAAGAAAATCAAAGTGAATAATAAGCAAAAAGATTTTAGTGGATATGAGAGTAATTCACAAAATTTAATTTAATTTGAGTAATAATTGTTGATCTATAATTGAAAATTAACATTGCAATAATTATGTTATGTTTCTAACATTAATTGATTGGAGATAAATTTAAAATTCAGAATCTATATTTACATGAACATCTACACCTACTTCAACACTATAAATAAACCATCATCCACAGGACCACAACCAATGCTACAATTATGTTTTGGTCGTGGCTGGAATTGGGAGGATGCATATGGTTATGGCTAGAATAGGGAGAAGAATATTTATGGGAGTTTAGATCTCTTATAGAGCTTAATACCATGCGATCTGGGTAAGATGAATCAAGAAATGCGCAGTAGACATGAAGAAAAAGCTGAGGATAAAAATCATACCTTGCTTATGAACTTGGGCCGCCTTCGATTCTTGGAGCTGTTCTTTCTTGGAAGCAGAGGCAACTGTTAGCCGTAGCTCATGAACGCGAAGAAGAAGAAGCAACTTACGTAAAGAGACTATTTTGCCCAAATGAATAAAAAAATTAAAAAGGTTTAAGTTTTTCCAGTCAATTTCCACCGGTGATTTAGCCGGAAGGACCAAATCTGCTAAAGAAAACATAATTAAAGGACTAAATTGTTAGTCTTAAGAGTCATGGAGCGAAATTAACACGCCCCCTATAGTCATAGGACCAGTAATTTGCTCATTTGTTAAATTAATAATAGTCCGTGCATCGCATGAGACACTTTCTAGTACGTTAAAATAACATAATACTCTCATACCCTTAAAGATCACTTTGCATATAATTAACTATCAGCTAATTTAACAAACATCTTTCTATAACAAGCTAATACAATCAGTTAGTCAAACCCGCCAACTCAATCCGTTAACCGCTATTAGCTAAATCAAATAGCTATCAACTATCACCTAACAACTATTTTTCAAACACCCCAATGTGTTTGGCACTAATCTAGCCAATTAATTGGTATATTTAATTTTGAGTATCCCTCGTGAAATCAATTTGAATACGATTATATACATTATATTTAATATAAATGCAATGAACAATCAAACCCAATAAGTGTACATGGCTCTAGATATCTAACACTTTCTCCACAACTTAAAATAAAATAAATAAATAAATAACAATAATTTCATAGTTTTTTTTTTTTTCTAAAATATAATTCCCGTATTATGGTAGTGACTTTCCTGGAAATTTCAATTGCAGATAATGTCGAAAACATTTGACTTGTACGTTACATGGGCGTCCAAGATTTTGGTCAGATCGTAATCTGAATTTTTATATTTTGATCCAACAAATCCAAAAGGTGGTGATAGACGACAAGAATATGATCCCAAAGGTTCTCTGAATCTGAGATAATTGTCATGCATGGTTATACTTTTTTATTATTTATTTTGGTAGATATTTGACTAATAGAAAACAAGTGAAAATGACAAGGAAACATTTTAATACCGAAAAAACAACAAAGATGACGAAATCTGCATTACTTTTTCCTATTCGAATACCAAATGCAGAGACACCATTCCTAGCCCTAGGGGTACGGTGACTCTCCCAAGTGTTGATCGATGATATTTATTTATTTATTTATTTTTTATACATTAGGTCTCGAACTTACGCTAGATTAATCCTAAGTTCTCAAAATTTCTGTCCAAAAATTGTTGGCTGGCGAAGGTAATAAATTGCGATAGTTGCCCGAGCAACCTCCCAATCAATTCCTATCGTTAGTTCTGCTTATAAACGATTCATCTTCACACTTCGGACAAATAGAACTTTACAACTATAATTCCTAACCCTCTAATTATATAAAGAATCAAGATCAAATGAGAACAAGTCTTCTCATTAAAATCCTGAATTGATTTTAAGTTATTAACCTATCTGGGTTGATTTAACAGAAAAGCTTGGAAATCTAAAAAAAGTGCAATAATATTTTCATAAACATTATATTCTTGTTGTGCACTAGGGCAAACTAGATACGTAGAGTGCACTTAAGTCTAAAAACAATGAACTCAAGTTTGTTTGCACGATAAGGTGCCCTGATATGTCACAACAAACTTGAGTATACTAATTTTATGTGACAATGCACAATCAAACTTTACCCAATACACATCCAAAGTTTGTGATAATAATTATGAAAATAGTACCGTATTTTTTTTCACAACAAATGCATAGTTAAGATTAGTTCACACTTTTTACGGAGAGACATGTTCTCACTTGAATATACACCTATATATAGGGGTTGATAGTATCTGTTCAAACATCGAGGCTCGATCTCATGACCTCCCACATAAAAGAGATCACTACATGCCATCTGAGTACAATATGTTTGGCTATAGAGATTGGTTTTAGGAAAAACAAGTAGGGATAACAATTCTACCCACACTCAATGTGCTACCTACATCCCCACTACAATATGATGAATAGTAAAATACACGCATAATTTGGATAATAGGTATGAGGATGAGAGAAATTGCACAAGTGCAGTGGCAAGTGTTGCGGAGATATCCCCTCTCCCTCCACACACATTTTATATATATATATATATATATATATATATATATATATATATATATATATTACAAGGATTAGTGGAATGTGAACCACAAATAAAAAAAAAATCTCTAAATTAACTGAAGCACTATTCATGAGGTTTATGAAAATGGGGAGGACTAGGAAGAAATAGAGGTACATATTACTTTATAAATATAACATAATTTATGTATTAAATTTAATACAATAAAATGTATTTAATACAATAAAATGTAATCTACATGGATTTTTTTAATCTTTGATTCTTTTTTTTTTCCGAGATGGCGGTGGGGGTTTGGGGGAGATGTGATGAATTTAGTGTCGATATTTAAAATTATTTTTTTGTACTAAGTCGAGGATTTAACTACTAATGTGAAAATAATTTGAATCGTTCTAATATAATCGTCAAAGATCTGAAGCACTAATCCTGAACTATTGTATATATTTTTGGGTATTAAGGTGATGACCTACCTTCCTAAGTAATATTAAAGTTTGTAATTATTTTTCGGACTAAATATCAGCCAAGGTCCCTCCAGGTTAGTGGTTCCGCCATCAATAGTTCTAAACTTTCGTTTTGACCCTCCGTCATCCTCCGAATTTAAAAAATGACCTCCGCTAGTCCTTCCGTTAAGTTTCTCCGTCTCAACCGTGAAATCTTAAGGGCATAATAGTCTTTTTGTTTATTCCCCCAAATACAACCGTGAGCCCTTGATGCCAACCCTCTCTTCGCAAATCGCTGACGCCCTCTCAACTCTACGCCTCTGTCGCTGTGTCTCTTCAATCCGCCCCCTGTCGCCCGTCTGTCTAGTTGTTCGCCTCACTTCTTGTCGCCGACAGATTGTAAGTCAACTGTGATTCTTTTTCCTTTTCACAGGTGAATGGTCACCATATCATATATATTGGCCATTGATTCAAAATCTTGATTTCTAGTCGTGAAGCATCACCCCTCTATCAGTGTTGATCCTGAGGAGATCACACATAGCTCTCATCTGATTTGCAGTGTCTACACTCTTTGCATTCCCCAGTGAAAATAGGTAGCCCATGGTCCCCTGGTGCTAGTTCTGCCACTCCCTCTCCTACACTCTCCACAATCCTAAAATCCCACAAACAAAATCAAGAATTTAATTGCAAAAACATTACATCTGAGTAACCATAATTCTTGATTAATGAATAAAAGCTTACCCTGCGGCCTCGTGTCTTAGAATACGAGGAAAGACAGAATTTTGCCCCTGCAAGACCCCAAAAAATAATCATTTTTTAAAAGGGAAATCAAAATGCAATATATAAAGAAGGGTATGAGATTTGTGCAAGTATAGTATACCTTGGCTTCCCAGAAGTAGACATCAGTGTGGCAAAGAGAAGTGAACAGAGTCTTGATTCGGACTTCCATTTTCTGCGGCGGGGCGACCTCTACCTTCCCTGCTTTCCATGCCACCGCAGCTGCAACCATAAACCCAAATCAGATATACCATTAGCCTAAATCTGAATCACCCCCAGCAGCTCAAATGGTCCTAGATTGTGGACCAAAAACTGAGCCACCCATGTATTATCAAGAAGATGAAAATGTAAAAAAGATAGAACCTTTGCATTGAATGACTTGCCCAGCAGTGCATGCCATTTTTGTTGTCCGAGTGTTTAAAGCTGACAATATGTGTCAATGCGAATTGAATCGGAATGTTGGAATCGAATGAGAGGGCCGTCGGCGATTTGCGAAGGGAGGGTCGGCATAAGAGCTCATGGCTGTATTTTGGGGGAAATAAACAAAAAGACTATTATGTCCCTAATATTTCATGACTGAGACCGAAAAACTTAACGAACGGACTAGCAGAGGTTAATTTGAAATTCGGAGGATGACGGAGGGTCAAAACGAAAGTTTAGGACTATTGATGGCGGGACCACTAAACTCGAGGGACCTTGGCTGGTATTTACTCTAAGATTACATGTTTGGTAAGTACTTCATATACTTTGTAAAACTACATATATCTTATTGTTTTTTATTATATATATAAAAAAAATCTTAATTGTATTGTAATTCAAATGTAGTATGTCATACAAAGAGGAACTGCCACAGATATTATGTGATGAAATTCATCTTGGAAATTATTTCCACTCAAGGATACAAAGGAATGAATAAGACAAGTAATTTAATAAAATATCTTTCTCATTCAAATTTTTAATACTATCTTATTGATTATTTATCTCTTTTTAACTTTGTAGAGCATAGAGAGATTTGGAAGATTGCCATGCAATCAACAAGAGATTATATTCATGAAGTTAGAGACATATTTCAAGTTGCTTATTGATGAATGGGTTATACAATACTTCATTAGTACATTAAATAATTGATGTTGATAATTTTAGATTCAAATTATTATTATATTATTAATTAGTATCAATTGTAAAATTTATTAGCTTGATTAATTGTGATATTTATTAGTTTGATTAATTGATAGATTTATTATCTTGATCAATTGTGAGATTTTGAATGTTGATGTGAATTGTAAAATTGCACAGATTTTGGGAGAAAATTATAAAATAAATTTAAAATTTAAAAAAATTTATATACGACGTCGATTTTTTTACTAAAAACCGACATCGTATGTTTTATTTAAAAAAATTAAAATTAATATAGGATGTCGATTTAAAAAAAAAAAAAAAAAAAAAAAAAAAAAAAAAAAAAAAAAAACTAACATTGTATATTACTCCCTATGTCCCATTTTATGTATCTGGTTCAGTTAACGAGGCTTGACTGAAGTCATTTTTAATCCAATTTTTCATTATATTAAGTTTAGTATTAGTATACAAAATTTATATATTTAGAAACTACACTAAAAGTACTATTAAACCCAACAAATCAAATTTAAAAATAAGTAAGGAATAATAAAGAAAATAAACAAAGAAGAAAGAGTTGATTAGACTAATGAATAGTTATAAGTAGGACAGAAAAATGACAGAGGGAGTAGTTTAAAAAATATGCGATGGCGGTTTTTAATAAAAAAAACCGACGTCGTATTTTTTATTTAATTTTTTTAAAAAAATATACGACATTTATTTGTTATAACCGACGTCGTATCATTTATTTATTACGTCTGTCAGAATGACGTCAGCAAAAATCGACGTTGATTGTCTCCAAAAATTGACGTTAAAAATGTTTTTTGTAATAGTAACACATACGATGGACTGACAGAATAAATAAAAAATCTAGTAAGAAAGTCCATTTTGAGTTAAATATGTGTCAATATAATGTAACGAAATAAATATGCTACGAATTGAAACTAATATTTGGAAGATCAATTTCATAGTTCACAATCTCTCCCTTTAGCATATATCGGTCAAAATTAGATATATTCTCTCTATGATTTACGTTCTCTCCTTTTGATGAACATGAGTCAAAAAATCATTTTCAAAGATAGCACAACCGAGCGATAATTCAAATATGTCTATCACGAACAATTAATTAATCGAATCTAACGAGAGAGAGAGAAATTGTCAAGCTACTAAACAATGCCAATGAAAAATTTTCAACCCATGAATGGTACCATCAAAACATATAGTTACGTGGTGTGGAAAGAAGAGGAGATGAGAGATGTAGATCAGACAATATCTCCCCCTATGCCTGCAAGCCCAAAAATAAAGTTTGAATAAGGAAGTTGTGGAATAATGTTGAGCAATCGTTATGTTATGGACCCGTGTCCAGCATACATTGTGGACACGGTAACGATGCTGTTAGTGGCATCGTTATCTTCCAGCATTTTTTTTTTTTAATTTTAAATTTCAGACCGCTTCGTTATAGGAGCATATGTTCATAATTTTATTACTATATGTTCATAATTGTAAGTTCATAATGTCAGAGCTCTGTGTTCATACTTCCATAACTGTACATTCATACTTCTATAACTGTACATTCATAATTCTGTAACTATACATTCATAATTCAATAACTGTAAATTCATAATTTTTGAAGCTCTATATTCACAATTTTAGAGCTCTATGTTCATAATTTTATCACTATATATTCATAATTGTAAGTTCATAATGTCAGAGCTCTGTGTTCATAATTCAATAACTGTACATTCATAAATCTATAACTATACATTCATAATTTCATAACTGTACATTCAAAATTTTCGAAGCTCTATGTTCACAATTTTAGAGCTCTATGTTCATAATTTTATCACTATATGCTCATAATTGTAAGTTCATAATGTCAGAGTTCTATGTTCATAATTCCATAACTGTACATTCATAATTCTATAACTGTACATTCATAATTCCACAAACGAATAACGCTGTTAACGACGAGACAAAATCAATTTTTCTTTTAACTGAAATGCCATCGTTTTGGACTCGTGTCCACAATGCATTGTGGACACGAGTTCACAGCATAATGTTCCAATGTTGAGCATCTGGGCTTGTGACGAATTTGTTGCGAGCTTGTTATCAATGTTGAATTTCTCAATTGTGAGCTTTCTCACAACAATTAGAACATGACAGGAGTATTATTGGGCGGATTATGGTCCATACAATTATTTGGATCCGAGAATATAAATAAAAAGTAAATTATTTGAATATATAAAATATATTATTTGAATATTGAAAGTACGTTATTTTGTATAGTATCAAATAATGTATATTTAATACAAAAATAATGTACTTTTTAGTATATTAAAATGTACTTTATATTCAAGAAAAAAAATATATTATTTGAATATTAAAAGTATATTATTTTGTATAATGTACATTCAGGGACGGAACCAGAAATTCGGTTGAGGCCGGGGGGACGAAGAAGTAGGGACGGATTCAGAAAATTTTTTCAGTAAAGGCGAAACATTAAAACAAAAGAGATAATTTAAAAATAAATAAATAAATTACCTAAGAAATATAGTTATAAATATTGTTGAAAATGAGGGAAAATAAACGCATCGGAACTTTATAAAAATATTCATAACAAAATATGAAACATAATTAATTTGATAAAATAATTTGAATATAAATTACACATCTCATTATTAATATAAAAAAATGTTTTTTATGTGTGTGTGTGTGTGTGTGTTCAAACCCTTGACCTTTACTTGCCAAAAATGTGTTCTACCAACTAACCTAACTCATTTTTTGTTAATATTTAATATTTTTTTTATACTAATACTAAATCATGTACTATATATACATATATACATACAAATATTATATATGGGGTGGGGTGGGGTAGGGTGAGGGGGGCAGCTGCCCCCTCTGCTCCCTTTGGCTCCGTCCTTGTGTACATTGATCATTATACAAATAAAATGTATTTTTAATATATTAAAAATATATTTTTTATGATCTACGCAGCATTGTGGGGCAATAGTCCATATAATAATTTGCGGATCGTTATACTGTGCATCCGTGTGCACCATGCGACGTCGTTTTGACTAAAAACGCGCGTCCCACTTAAAAAAAAAAAAATCAGTTTCGATTTCCCTCAACAGCATTATGTTCTTCATTCATTCTAGATTTTTAGTTCATAGATTCTGGATTTTTAGTTCATTAATTCTGGATATTAGACGTAAATCAAAATTGATTTTTTTTTTTTTCATTCATGTTGGATATTTAGTTCATTCATTATGGATATTTAGTTCATTCATTATGGATTTTTAGTTCATTCATTTTGTATTTTTAGTTCATAGATTCTGAATTTTTAGTTCATTGATTTTGGATTTTTAGTTCATTGATTCTGGATATATAGTTCAAATTATGCACAAAATAATGTTGTTGCTGGGAATCGAAACTGAATATTTTTTTTAAAGTAGGACGCGCGTTTTTAATAAAACGACGATAATTTGCCATAATTTGGCAATTTATATCCTGCACCATGGCGCGCGTTGCATTGTGCGCAGATGCAAAACAACGTCGTTTCAATTTTATTTTATTATTTTGAAATTTCGCCACCCAGTGTTTGGCAGTTAATTTTCCTTAAAAAAAATCTTATGTTCAAAAATGTACACAATGTTATACTAGAATACACATAATTGTATAGTATACATGAATGTACATAATTATATAACAAAATACACATACTCTTTTTTAAAAGATAATACACATAATCTAACATAATACATAATAAATATAAACTTTTAACATAATACACATCAACTCTTAACATAATACACAAAAAATTTCCTGATTCGGATGTACATAATTATATAAAAAAAAAATGTACATAATTATATAAAAAATGTACATAATAAAAATATACATAATTACATAAATAAATATACATAATCATGTCAACTTCCTACCGCGCCTCCCAAAACAACGTCATTTTGGGAGGCGCGGGGCACACAACGCCGTGGTGCAGGGTATAACGATTGCATAATTTGCCAACATGACATTAATGGGCTTTCAAAAGGAATAATTTTTGCACTTGTGGGCTTTTTTGTGTAACATGTCATTACTGGGCATGAAAATAATTGCTCATTTGTTGGCGTCCATTTTCCGGGCAAATTATACCGTGAATTGTAGTTCAGACATCAAATATGCACTGCAGTTTCATTTCAACACATCTACAGTATCATTTTAATATAATTATAATTTCGTTTGACAATATACACTCAAATATGTGAAATTAT